AACCGAGATATCAGGTGCAGTGAAGAAAGCCAAGTATGTTACGAATTTCATTTATAGCCACCATATCACCCTCAGCATGATGCGTACTTTTACAAAGAAGAAAGAGATTGTGCGGCTCGGGGTCACAAGATTTGTGACTTGGTACTTATGCCTAGATAGCATACATTCGAGGAGAGTGCAGTTGAGGCAAATGTTTACCTTAGATGAGTGGAGAGCATGCAAGTGGTCTAAGGCTTAGGTTGGAAAGAAGATGAGAGATACTATACTTTCTAAGGCTTTTTGGCGAGGGGTGAAGGACACTCTTAAGTTATTTTTTCCTCTTATCAAAGTCCTACGCATGGTTGATAGTGACAAGCCTTCTATGGGCTATATATATGATGCTATGGAGGAATGCAAAAGAGAGATAGCCCAAAATTTCAATGATGAAGAAACCCGCTACAAGCCTGTTTGGGAGATTATTGATGAGAAGTGGGATAAGCAGCTACATCGGCCATTGCATATAGCTGGTTATTTCTTGAACTCAGCTTTGTTTTATATTAACTAGGATATACAAACAAATGACACAATTATGGATGGATTTAATAAGTGTGTAGAGGTGCTAGTCCTTGATCTTGAAATGCAGGATATTATATGTGCTGATGAGCTGATAAATTACAAGTGCTCATTAAAGTCTTTTGGGAGTCTAATGGTAATGAGGCAAAGGACCAAAAATAATCTAGGTATTAAATATTATTATATTAATAATATTCTTAAGTTCATCACTTCATCTTCATCAAGTTCAATTCTTCAAGTAATCAAGTATTTCTATTATTTATTTATGATTTTTTTTATTTCTTTGCAGCCCATTGTTGGAGCCAACATGGGTGTAGTTCTCCAAATTTACAAAAGTTGGCCATTCGGATCTTAAACCTAACCACTTTTTCATCCTGTTGTGAGCGGAATTTGAGTACTTTTTAAGGGGTAAGGCCATAAGGGTAATTTGTATAATTTTATAAATAATTCATGAACCATATATATTAGATTTTAATTAGTTCGCTTTCATTTTAGTTCGTTAGGTTCATACAATGAAAAGGAACAGGCTTGAATCAAAGAAGCTCAATGACCTTGTCTATGTGAAGTACAATCGATTCTTGAAGGACAGATTTGCTAAGAGAGATAATAGAGACCTCATCAGATAAAAAAATATGGACAATGCTATGGAGTGGTTAGTTGATGATGATGAGGTCGAGGGGCATGAAGGATTGATATGGGGCATTGTCATGGATGCTTCAGGGACATCAGCTGACCCTCTTAGGAACATGGGTGGAGGAAGAGGAGGAAGAACAGGTAGATTCACAAGAGACGGAGGAAGACGAGTCACAATATGTCAAGGAGGGTGACGACTCCATCGACTCCGATGATATGCTAATGCAGCTGACCCAAGATTTTCTGATGATGAATGAATGTCGATTGTTGAATAATTATTAAACTTTGTTACTTTGAAGTTTGAATTTTGATTGAAGTATTGTGTATTGAACATTTGAACTATTGAAGATTCTTTTGAGTCTTCAAGGATTACTTTCATAGGTTTATAATTTGGTTGGCATATTTTAAGTTTTAATTGGATATTGGTTATGGAGTATGAACAGACTTATGGATTATGGTTATGCTTATGGAATGTGTGCTAAATGCTAATATGTAATATAATTTGAATATAACTGATAGTCTAATACTTAAATAACTGCAAAATCCTTATTTGGATTCAACTGGGCTGCCCAGGTTTTGGGCGCTGGGCGGCCTGGACCCCCCAATCCGCCTAGGACTTGCCTAGCGCTTTTTGAAACACTGGTCGAGTTTGGCCGGGCAGGTAACTGGACCGAGTTCCTCAGGTGGCTCACTGTTCATGCTTCAATTTGTAGTTGTCTTTTTTTCCCTTTTTTTGTGTCCCTTTTTCATCATGTTGATTCATATGCTAAACTTGTATTTGGATTGCAATTTAGACATTGAGGTTGATCATTTCTCCATTCATATCCCATATCCAAAATTTGGGATCAAAACGTGAAGGGGTGGCTTTTTCATTCAAAAATCTCGCCCCTGTTTAGACCTCTCATTCAACGATGCACCAAAGCTTTGATATCTTCTCTTGATCCGCAACAAAACTACTCCAAATTTGTTCCAAAAATAGCCATCATGTAGTCCGCTGCAAGATTTATACATTAGCTACTCTAAGAAATCAAGCCTCAAAAGTTTTAGCTTGGTTTTGAAATCGGAGCTTGGATCTATCGACTTTCGAGTTTTTATCCACAATCGAAGCTTGAAATATGTTAAGAGAGAGAGGGAAGGTTTTGAAATTCCGAAAGCACAGGGGGAAGAGGGAGAGGTAGTAACATAGATAAATAAATAAATATTTCGATAGATTGAAAGGAAGGGGGAAAGGCTGAAATCCAAAAAACACAAAGAGAAAGGGAGGAATAGAGAGAGAGAGAGAGAGATGATCAGATCAAACCCCAAAGCTAGAGAGAGGCAGGGAGAGATGCTGAAACCTGAATACTTACTTGGTGCAAGGATGAAGTGGATTGGGTTTGTGGGTATGGTGAAGCTCGTAAAAATGAGGGGAGACAGATGGGAAATGTGAAGAGAGAGAGTAGGAGGAGAGAGAGTGATGGAGAGAGAGAAGGGGTGCGGGGAGAGAGAGAAAGAGAGAGAAGTTTGGGAGGATGGCTTTTAAAAAAGGCATGTCTTTTTAGATTTGTTTGGCTTAAAGAACAAGTTTAAATTAGCTCGGGGGGTTAGAAGAAATAAAATCTACAATTTTTATGGCCCAAGATATCTTTTAAAACCTTGGGTCTATTGTGAAATGAAATCTAAAAATAGGGGGTATGGAGATATTTTCCCTATAATCAAAGTACGTCTTTTCCCTCTATAAAAGAAAAGAGTCAAACTATATCTTCTTGACAGTGTCCAAAAACTCTGAGTCCTACTCAGATTTGAACGAGTTACTCGGACTCAGCAGGATCCTGAGTCTTGATTGAAAACCATGATAAGTAGTCAAGCCTTGCTACTTCCCAAGGTTTGATGGTTAATTTCTTTAAGAATAGGCTGATTCAAGGGGGTTTCAGTGTCATGGAGCACTTTCTCAGTTTCGACTCCATTATTGTCACTGTGATAATCATAAGTTCATTACATACTTTGGAGAAATATTTTACTAGCATTTGGAAAATTTATCAAAATATGCATTTGAGATAACTATTGCAAGCCAAGACATTGTATATTTTCATGGCGTATTTTGAAATTAAATTGAAAGACATGGGTAAAGTGTTAAATTGCTCATTTCTTATGGGTAATTTGATAGATTACCTTAATAGTTTGGTGAGGTGGATTGTCTTATGCGGTTTATCGCCCCACATTGTTTTTTTTCCTGTCTTCATCCAATTTTTGGAGTATATATCGGTCCTTATTTTCTGTTATCTGAAGAACCAGTGCATCAATCTTATTTTCAGTCTGAAAATTTTCACTTTTTTTGCTGTATTGATTAGCTTTGTTCTTGCTACGGCACTTCATTCAAATTATCCAGTCGGTTTAACTTTTACCAATTTATCTCCTATGTTGGAAGACAGAGACAAGTTGGTCTTTGGTTGTTTAGAGTAGCATGCGTTGATTTTAGCTTTTGATTTTTTATTTAGGGCTTTTTGTCAGTTGACACATTGGTCCCATCTCATTCTCCTTGCCTGTGTCGTAACCGGATGGGAGTGGCACTTCGCAATTTTGCCCTTCAACTTTTTGCTTTTTTGAAACAGTTTCAAAATCGTGGTGTTTAAATTACTGACATTTTGCAGTTTTTATTCTAATGAGATTATGGTGCACAAACACCAATACCTCAAGCGAGTTTTCTCTTCAATAACAGCAGCCCTATTTTGGGGCATACAATTGTATTATATATTTTACCCTAATAAAATTTTGATACACATCAACAAAGAAAAGGAGCCTTTGATGAATGCTGTTTGTTGTGCTTTTCTATTGTGTGTAACATGATTAACGCATGTTATATCTCAACAAACAAAAAAAACGAAATTTTCCATGCGTTTAATATGATTTCTTGTTCACCACCAGCAAATTGCACCATCAGGAAGTTAAACTTGTGAAGATAAGCTGCGTCTAAAGTTCTGAAGAAAAACCAAAACAGGAAGCAAAACATATCTTAAGTCATTATGGTTTGTATTTCTAAGATTTTTATAGTCGTATATCTAGAAGTTTGTGTATCTTGTCTGTTTGTTCAGGGTTGTTTGTGTTTTACTATGCATTCAGCGGTATTAATGTATTTTGTATACCAGTCAGCTTGAGTCTTATCTTTATGTGTGATTAAAACCCTTGATTTGATTAATGAGGATGCTGCATAATTTCTTTCAATCTGCCAGGAATCACTTAACAACGAGGGAGTTTTGGTCAGTTTGATATTAGTATAAAGTAGATTCTGCTAATGAATTTATATGAGATGAAGTGCATTGCATAAGTGCCTTTGGAAGTATGAAAATATTTGATGTTTTGGTTCCTAGGCAAAAGGAAGCAAGAAAACTGTGCAGCAAGATGATACTCTTCTCAATGGCAACAAGGACCCTGTCGATAATTTGGAGAATTCCGAACCTGATAGGGAAGTACCACTTGGGGTGGAAAGTGATTTTGTTGAGCTGTCAATCAACTCGTATTCTCAACAAAAGCTTGATAGAGGAAATATAGGCTCCAATAAGCAGGCATGCATAGAATCTGAGGTGAGTCTCTGAAGTATTCCCTGTTAAAGAGCAATTGTTTTCAAGTGTTTGTATAATATATGATGATATCCTTCACCCCTGACGTGTCTTCTACGATTCTGTTTTAATGCCTAGGTAGTGAAGCCTTGTGGACGAATCAATGCTTGTGTTGCTGTGGCACGAGACACACTTTACCTGTATGGAGGTATGATGGAGCTCAAAGATCGAGAAATTACTCTGGACGATCTATACACACTTGATCTGAGCAAACTTGATGAGTGGAAGTGCATAATACCGGTTTGTCTCTCTTTCATCTCTACTCTATTCCTGCGCCCCTTGTTTTGGTTCAGTTTATATTTGCCGTCATTGTAGACCACATCAAGATATAGCATTCTTTGCTCACTCCAGGCTGGTGAAAGATGGTCTCTCCTCATTTTGTAGCTATATCGGTGGAAGACAACTTCGGAAATCTTATATTATCTGGCAAACAATTTGAATGTTAGGATATATTTATGAAATGTTCTTACTCTGCGCCTATGGGAGTTTTCAGTATGCCACATATTTGTATTCTATAGCTCATAGACATCTTATGATGGATTATGACCACCATTTGTCCAACAATATGATTGATTGTAAATCATCATCCAAACCTTTCTAAATTCATTTTCCATGAGAGTTTGTGTTCGTTCTTGTCACTTAAAGCGTGTTTAATTTTTTCCGTGAGCTTGGTTCAACATGCAGTTTTGAAATGGTGACTGGGATCTATGGTGTTTGTTCTTATGTTCTATCAGGCGTCTGAATCAGAATGGCTTGAAGTTAGTGAAGATGAAGATGAAGAGTGCTCCGAAGATGAAGACGAAAATGATAGTGGCAGTGATGATGCTGAGACCGATGATGATGATGACGACGACGATGATGATGAATTAGAGGTGCTCTCTCTCCCTCCCTCCCTCCCTCCTAAAGGTGAATCATAAAATAATATACCTACTATACTGTAGAAAAAGTAAAGCATCCAAAAATGATTGAGGACAATCTTTCCTTCTAGAGTTGTCTTCTACTGTTATTTTCCTACATATGATGCTCTGTTGTACTCTTTCAAGATTCAGTCTTACCCTCCCACCCACCCTCCTAAAGGTGGATCACAGAAATATACTGTGGTATCTACTGTATTGTAGAAAAAACAAAGCATCAAAAAATGATTTAGGACCATCTTTCCTTTTAGAGTTGTTTCCTATTGTTGCTTTGCTACATATGATGCCATGTTGTATTTTTTCAAGATTCGGTCTTTCTGTGATCTTTTGCTTTCTGAGTAACGCTTTTCTACAATGGTTACTCAAAATATTGCTCTTGTATTCTCATTGTGAATTTGTGATGCCGTTCTTTCAAAATATACTGCCCTTATGAACTGAGTTAAGAGGGATTCACTCGACTGACGTTTGTGAGTGTGTCCAGTTAGTAGCTATGGGGACCTCCTTTTTATGTCAGTTCTCACTTGAAAGAAAAAGAGTTATGACCACGAACCACTGTTACCCTTTTAAAACTTATGTTCTTAATTTATGTGGACGGTGTGAATTATTTGTCAATGATACAACCTTATAGTGACATTACGGATCTTTTTATCACTGTTTTGTAGCTATATCCTAATATTTCATTTTAGTTTGTTCTGAAAGTTCATTCTTTTTGTGCAAAGGTTAGGGGCGACGAGAAAAATACTTTGGGAATGGAATCAGCAGTTGCCCTAATCCGAGGTGAGACTAAGAACCTGCGCAGAAAAGAGAAACGGGCTCGTATAGAGCAGATAAGAGCCAATCTTGGCCTTTCAGATTCTCAGAGGACACCAATGGTAAGAAAACAACACTTGATGGATTTGATAATCGCCAAAGATTTATTGTTGACTTTAGAGTAAACTACTGTGTCAAGTATTCTGAATCTCTCCTTGCAATTTATTTTCTATTTCTCTGACCATAGATGCATTTTGAATACAATTGTTAATTTGGACAATTGAACTCCACTCTCAAAAAAAAAAAAATTGGAAAATTGAGCTAAAATTTGAAGCCCATACAGTGTCACTCTGTATTTGATGTGTGACTTTTCTGTGGGAGCAATAACTAGTACTTGCTGACTTTTAGGTTTTTTTTTTCCTGGTACATGCTGCCATAAGCAGCTATTACCTCATGTTTTCTTTTGTGGTGTCAGGAATGACCTTGATAAGCAGCTTTTACAGCATGTTTTGATTAATCCATGCAATTCTTTTTTACAAGTTTGTTTAGTATTAAATGTACTAAGCTCCACACATAAACATGCATTTGTCTGTATAAACACACTTTTCACACAAATGCTGCCTTTTGATAAGTGGATTTACATTTTAATGTTGGTGAGTCGTTGTTTATATCTATACTTTTCCTTCACGAAGCCTGGAGAATCCCTCAGAGATTTTTATAAGCGGACGTCTATGTACTGGCAAATGGCTGCTCATGAACACACGCAACACACTGGAAAGGTGATTCTTCAATTGATGATCTCAATAGAGTAGTGTTGCTTGTCTGCCTAAACAATTACTATGCCAAGTTAGTTTATGGTTCAGTACTGAATTTTTAGTTGTGAATATGGTACTTCAAAGTATTTTCCTAACAACGCTAATTACAAAGTGTTGTAAAATGAAACAGGAGCTTCGGAAAGATGGATTTGATCTTGCCGAGGGCCGCTACAAAGAGCTACTACCTATTCTTGAAGAGGTGATCTTAGAGGCTTGCTAATGTTTTTATTGCCCTAACTAAGTTTTGCTGATCTTATTTTATAATGGGCCTATTGATATCTTGTATATCTTGCAGTTAGCCAAACTAGAGGCAGAGCAAAAGGCTGAGGAAGAAATCCAAGAGACCAGTTCGAGAAAACAAGGCAATAGAAAGACCAAGAATCGTGTATCAAACAGGTAGCTTTTTTGTCAGAGGCCATTCCTCATCCCTGCTGTCTACTTGTGGTTTTGATTTCATAGCATGGATCATTCCATCTGTGTTTCTTAAGGTCAATATGGCTTCGTACTGATAGATGATACGTTATGGCCTCTGTGAAGCCTGTGTTCTTTGGTCGAAATTTTTTCTGCTGGTGCTTCTCTCTCTCTCACACACACAAATGTAGCCATTAGCTGCTAGCCATCTTGTTTTGCATAAAGCTTAAATATGTACCAGTTAACTTGGAATTATATCATTTGCTTTCGTACTTCTGATTTATTCAATTTCAAGAATTATTTGGAGGCTGCTGCTGATAAGCAGTGAAAAAATGTATTCTTTTTCTAATTTCCATAATATTTGAAATTTTGAGTGAGCATTTTTATTCTTTTTTTTTGGGTAAATAACATTTTTATTCTTGGTAATGGTGTACTGTAGCTTGCATGCTCCTCTTTGACGCTTCCATCAATTCTGCCTCACTTGCCAGCATCGTTCTTGGCAAAAGATAGTGTGCGCCCACGGTAGTATACTGTCTATTTGCTCCCTCAGGTAAAACCCCATCTAGGATTAATGTTAGGACCCCAAGTTTTTGTTTGGGATGTAATCTCTTTGACTCATATATTAACCTAGGCTAAAAGTTTCTTAATTGTACCATCTATGTACTTGAAAAAAATAAAATAATGTCTCCAATTTTTAGAGGGTGAAATCTAAGTATTAGAAAACTCTATTTTAAATTTTCTTTTGAGAATAATCTTCTCCTGATTCCTAGATGGTTCCCAAAATTTTTAGGTTGAGATAATCTCCCAAATAGTTCTTTTGACCGAGGGAATACATAGTGCTACAGCGGGAGGCACGGTAGACGTCCTCTTTTTCTTATGGGACTTTTTAAGTGTTAAAAAGCTGGACTGGGACATATCTTCTTCTTGGCCTTGGTGGTCGCCTAATATAATTAGGGATTATATATTGGAAAATTGTCTCATGCAGGCTGGACCGCATGACTACATATGCGGTCCAAAAAGTGTAAAGCATCCATCTTAAAGATGGATTCAAGTAGGTGTTCCATCTAAAAACAATGGAAATTAACGGTCCAAATATTTTCTTACTAGAATTATGATTTCTAGTTTTTTAAATTTATTTATTTATTCATATTCATGATCTCCATGTTAGAGATTACATATCCTTAAAAATTAAGTCAAAAAATCCATCTCAAAAATAGATTTATTAATATGCCCGCATTTCTACATATGCGGGCTTGGATGTATAGAAACCGGGTCTTTGTATATTATAAAACTATTTACTTTTGGTACCAAGAAATTACAGTCATTTTTTACTATTGATTGTGAAATCTGGCAAACTGAAGTGTCACAATATTCAAAAAAATTTATTTTGGATTTTGTGCCCACTCGATCTCCAATTACCCAATTTCACATCTAATAATCAACCATGATTGTGTTTTTCTTGTACCAAAAAGTAAATATTCTTATTGTATGTATATTTGGATGTAATTAATGTTTCATTATGAGATAAAGTTTCCTAGTCCAAAAAGCTATTCTCTAGTTCGTGAAGAACCACTCGTAATTCTTTGTTCTTATTTTAGTGAAAATGCGATGAGTTCATTGTATCTTGTTATGACAATTTCTACCTGATTCTTTGTTCATATTTTGGTGAAAATACGATGAGTTCATTGTATCTAATTATGACGATTTCTTGATGATTCTTTGTTCTTATTTTAGTGAAAACGCGATGAGTTCATTGTATCTTATTATGACGATAAAGACTAAAGTTGTCAGGAAATTGGCATGATATTTATTAATTTTTGCCAGATCTAAAAAATGTCATGTTCTTTTTTTTTTCTTTTTTCTGCTCATCACTCTTCAAGTATGGAACCTTTGTATTTTGTTTTGAGTGACACATTGGTTCGAAACTCGACTATTTTGAAAAATATTTTGGAACCTGTGTTTTTTTAATTCAATTTCTTGTGAACTAAAAAATGAAATAGTATTCCTGATTCATTATTAAGCCAGAGTTAAGGGATATATACATATTCCAAAAATAGAGAGGGATCTTATTTCTATAGTGTATATAGAGTACATGACTTCTGAATGAAAAAACCTAGGGTACCTAATCCCTTTCTTTAAAGGAGGGAGAGAAGTGAGAGAGAGAGAGAGTCTGGAGAGAAGGGAGGAGAGAGACATGAGAGAGGAAATTGAGGGAAAGATGGAGGGAAATGTTTCCATATTTAGGAGGGAGAGTGAGAGATGATTACTTGAGATAATGAGATGGAGAGAAAATCAAGGAGAGATTATTGAAGATTTATCTTGTTTAAACATGTTACTTATTCAGAATTTTAAATAAGAAAGACATCTACCTTTATGGTAATATAATTAACTTATATATAAACATTGCAATATGTATTCTTTTTCTAATGGGAGAAAAAACCTTGGTTGTTTGTTTTTGGTTGAGATGAGGGTTTTGAAGGGGGGCCTAAAGGAGGGCTTGCATGAATGAGAGAGAGAGAGAGAGAGAGAGGAGGAGGGGGGGGGGGGAGGGGGGGGGAGAGTACGTAGTAGAGTAGTGTAGTAGTAGTAGAGAGTCTACGTAGTAGAGATGTAGTAGTAGTGTAGGTCGTGT